AAAATGCAAAGTGTAAAAATGTTTAAAATAGTAAAAGTCGTAAAAAGCTGTTAATTGGATACCTTGCTATGTAGTAAACAAAACTGTATTTAAAAACTAATATTGCAAAACAAAAAAAAGTCCTAATGTTGATAATGTTTTGAAATACAAAATACTTTAATTTTTTATTGGTCACAGAACGGCTATATTCATTAAAATCTATAACTATCATTGCCCCAGAACGCGCATTTCTCTTTCCGCCTATCTCTCCCCGTCTGTGGCTTTGACTTCAGACAGACCAGGTCATTCGGGCGTGCGCGCCTTTTTTTATAATTTTCTTTCAGTTGATGTTTACCCCTTCTACACTGGGCTGAATATGCAGTATACGTGAAACATTAGGCAGTGTTTGTGCATTGTTTTGATCATTTTTGGAAACCACTGTGAGTGATACCAGATGTTTTACAGGACAAAACACTCTGTAAGTGGATATGGAAAAGCAGTCTCGTAATAAAAATTAAGTGTTTTAACAATGAAAGGCTTGACAGGCTTGGTCTTATAAGCCCTTGTTCTATTAGGTCTACACTTCAGGAAATTTAAAGGCACAACCAGGCCTATCATCTGCATGTGAATGTACTTTCACTGTCAGTGTGCAATAGCAAGACTGTCTTGACATTTACAGAAGTGAGTTATAGCTTTGGGGAACTGAGTGTGTTGAGTTGTGAGAAAAAATAGAGAAAGCGATGAATATAATACTGACAACTGACAACCCCAAATTGGAATATAACAGTCCAAAATTCAAATTCTTAAATATTTCTACACAATTTAGAGTTAATGTTGTCCCTTTGTGATGATCAGACTACAATTGCACTATAGGGAAACAGATTAAGATGTAAATGGCTCTCCTTTGAAAATAGAAGACGAACACACTTACAAATAATAATAATAATAACAATAATAAATAAATATACAGCTAAACCTTCTCCCTACATTCTTAAATGACACCATTTAGCATTTGAAAGATATTAGTATCTTGAGCTTTGACTTGTGAACTTTGACAGGGCAGAAACCCATTACAAGTGGTACTCCTCCTCCCCTGACCCTACTTACATAAGTGTGCCAGATTTTAAAAGAGATGCACCCATCTGAGAGACACCACACAGGCAGCCTGCACCAACAGTGCCCTCAGCAAGGGCATCCAGAGTCACACCACCCACCGCAGAGTGCACTAAAAACCTCTCTTCCTCTGTCGTTCACATTCTCGCTCTCTCTTTCCCACTCCCTTTACATGCATGTCTTCTCTCATTCTTTCTCTCAGCTCTGCCAGTTGTGGCCTATATTTGGTGTTGGTCATGTAGGTCATGATAACCGAATGGTAAAATTAGAGATGTATATTCCTTTGCACCACTGAATGATGGATATTTTTGGCTATGAACCAACTGACACTTTTTTTCCCCTCAGAATGATGATATAGTCTCTTCTCACAGATCCACAGTATGTTGTTCTAATATTCCAAATATCTACAATATATAGACAGTAAATAATACAGAAATATATACTAAAAATATTTTAATGGGTTTTAATTTGTCTTTTTGACTTGTTTCTAAAAAATTATCAAGTAGTAACACTCTATATTGAGGAGATATACAGTTTCTATAGTATATATTATACAATTATAGATATATTTTTCAGAGAACATACACTACTGTTCAAAATTTTAAAGTTGGGAAGATTTTTTAGTGCTTTTTAGTAAATGTCTTATGCTCACCAAGGCTGCAATTGTTTGATACAGTAAAAACAGTAACAATGTGATTGTGTGATTAATTGCAATTTAAAATAACTGTTTTTTGTTTTGAGTATATTTTATAATGTAATTTATTCCTGTGATGACAAAGCTGAATTTTCAGCAGTCATTACATCAGTCTTCTGTGTCACATGATCCTTCAGAAATCATTATAATATGCTGATTTGCTGCTCAAGAAACATTTCTTATTATTATCAATGGTGAAAGCAGTTGTGCTGCTTAATATTTTTGTTTAAACAATACTTTTTTCATGATTCTTTGACTATTAGAGAGTTCAGAAGAACAGCATTAATTTGAAACAGAACAATTATAAATGTCTTTACCGTCACATCTGATCACTTTAATGTATCCTTACATAATAAAAGTATACATTTGTTAAAAAAAAACTTTTTCTTGCACTGGATGAATTTTATATAAGTACAAACAAGTTGCAAATTAAACAATCTACCAGTATAGTGAGACAAAATCAAAACACACTCAAGATACAAGCTAAGCGAATCTTGTTTCTCAAGTAAATGTATCTTGTTTTAAAACATAAAGCATTTAAAGTCCTAGAAAGTGTATGTGAGGAGACAAAATGTAATAGGACTGTATGTCCTCAAAAAAAAATCAGAGACAAAGCATCATGGGAGCAGAAGGCAGGTTGTGTGTAACACAAAGTGACAGTGAAAAATAGAGAAAGAGGGTATCTGAAATGATTGTGAGCAGAGTATGGTTGACAAGGATGGTGTAAGACCCCTACTGGCTGAGGTATGAAATACACACTCCATAGTAAGGATCTCACACATCTCTGGAAGCCACCACCAGCACTGTGGCCAACAGAGGGCACTAGCAAACCATCCACAGCCTCTCTCTGTCCGCATTCAGTTCAGCTTGACTCATTCTGCCACCTGCAGCCCTCTGCAGAGATGACCCACCCTTCCTCTCACTGATACACTGCAGGGAACCATCAACTGTTCTTTCTATTGCCAGGCCCAACAACCAGAGAGAGGCAACTGTACATAATGGTTATGCAAACCAGCATGCATATGCAAAACAGCAAATAAACGATGATATAAACCAATAATATATGTTATAGCAGCATCAAGTTGTGTCTAAAATGCTTTGCTGAATGCATTAGCATTGCATTTGTACAATACTGACAGGCTAATGGATCGCTATAAAGCTACAAAACACATTATTTGAATGCTCTGACATTTTTAGTGAAAGAGATTCTGCAGAATCCTTGTTGATAACCTTGTAAACAAGAAATTATGCAGATGCACATTCTCTCAAATTTGAGCTTTAGGGAGTTTAGAGAACCTGCGGCGACAAATGGGGAATTTGTGAAACATTTGTCATTCATGGCAATCTGTTTGATCTGCTCTGAACCTCCGTTTCATAAAAAATGCATCCATCCATAGGGACAGAAATCCCAGAGTGACCTTAACAAAAGGTTCGGGTCATTCTGTCTGATAGAAACAGAAGCCAGCTGACACCCAGTTCATACCTTGCAGCGAGCAGACAACAGGCATAGCAGTTTACAGTCAGCTCACAATAAATAACACTGAAGCGATGATAGTGTCTGTATTTACCCAGTCTGTATTATGACTCATTGTCTGTCACAATGCTGAAGCACAGACTCAAATCCATGATTCTGCCAAGCATATATTCTAATGAATAACATACACGAGCACAAAAATACTCATCCACTGTCCTGTGTTAACCTCATAGCATTACATTCTGCAAATAGACTTATTAGAAACCACATATTCACAGCTGGCTGAAGCAGTAATGTCTTAACTGAAACATAATCCTTGTGACTCAAGCTGAATAATGCATGTGATATGCAGAATACAAAGCAGATGTACACAGATTCATGCACACAGATTGAGAAATTAGAGGTGATATTGTTAAATCCTGATTTGCATGTAGATGTATATCTATAAATGAGCAAAAGCACATTTGTACTAAGAATATACAAACTACATAATAACCAAAAGATTTAAACAACAAATAAAAACATAAGCACAGTAACATGAAATGGGTTGCACAGTACAGGGAAGCAAGGATCAGCGAGGAAATTTGCTGTGAGTTTTTCTCATAGAGTCAGCAGCATGCCCCTCTCATTAATACACTGAGAGACTTCGAAATAATGCAGGTGGGACTGCAGCACTCCAGCAGTCTGGAGACCCACAGACTTCTAATCCATCTATCTCCCTCAACCAGCCGGGCAAAGCAGAACCCAGTACTGACCCAATTGCACAGAAATTTACACAGGCCCTGATCCCTGTCCTCTGTCAAGGACTGGGGGAAAAACACTCAAAAGGCATGACTAACTATGAGACGAAGCTACTAGGAACATGGAGTTTAAGTCTGAGACCATTTCAAGACTCACATTAAACATACATATTTACATGTATGCATTTAGCAGACACATACATTGGCAGCATCACTGAACATGCAGAGAAAAAAAAAGTGTAAAAATAGAGCATTTAGTAACATACAAAACTAGTTATTCAAAAACATTTAAATAAACCTCCAACTCAAATCTGTATTCTAAACAGTAGGTTAGTGAAGCTTATTAAACATCATTTAAATTCTCTTTGAAAATTGGGGAGTAGCTGTTGCAACCTGCTTCAATCAGCAACTGCAGTTTAGCGTCATTAAGAGTTATAATTAAAACAGATTTCTTTGATTCATTAATAATCAAATCATTGAAGGTTGAGTACAAAATGAGAGCAGTACTACTAAGCTCTTGATGTGCTTGTATAACAGTGAGGTGGCGCTGTCCAGCACTGCTGGTGCTGAAACTGCACTACATTTAAGCTTGAAGGGTCAGAGTTGTGGTAGTAATAAAAAAATAAATAAAAATAAATGTGATTGAAAGAATGCTAATAAAGAAACCAAAGATGAATGCTTTTTTAAAATTAAGGTTCACTGAAATCATTTATTTTGAGTAAACTGAATGTAAACAGGTTTTGCGCTGCATGTTGCAACACGTGTGCATGAAACACATTTTCAGCATAATATCAAGCTAGAAAAGTGAATGTTTTGCGTCACTTCTGTATTTTTCTATTAACTAAATATGTGCTAATAGAATTATATTTAATATTTATTCATATTATTATTAATAAAAATAATAATAATAAAGAAAAGAATGCATATAGTGAATATGTGAATAGTTCATATAAGTGAAATTTCAGTGACTTTATAAACTAAGGTCTTAAATAATGCTCACCTTCCCAGTGGTAGGAAGAGTTTGGGTTCGTGAAAAAGTATCTTCTCCATGAATGCTGATCAGTTCAGCCTCTGCAGTCGCAAATGGCGAAGGAAAAACCACCATGTCACTCTTCATTGTGTCTGAGCTAAAACAAATGTCATATTGTTGCGTCGATTTAGAGAAGGACCAGCTGCCGTCTGGATGTGTGCTGATCACTGGAGCGCTGTACCTGCTGAAACTGACGTCTGTCCTGTAGCATTTAGCTGCTATCAAACCCAAGAGACTCAGTAAAAAGATGACTGAGACTGAGACAATAGCGATGAGCAGATACAGATTCAGATCTGAAAAACTCTCCTCTTTAACAGGAACCTCTCGAAATGATGTTTTTATGTCATCCAGACTCTCAACAACCACCACATCCATGGACATAGTCGCTGAGAGTGATGGCTCTCCATTATCAGACACTGTGATAAGAAGTGGGTGAGTTTTTAAGTCATTGTCACTCATTCGTCTCTTAGTCCTTATTTCTCCAGTGCTGCTTCCAATGCGGAAGAGATTCGTTCCTTTGGGTTCAGTTAGATGATAAGACAGAAGTGCGTTATATCCAGAGTCAGCATCAACAGCTCTGATCTTGGCTACAAAGTATCCCGCTTCAGCAGAGTAGGGAATGTTCTCACTATTAACTGATCCAGGTTCAGAATAAGGCAGTAAAATAACCGGACTGTTGTCATTCTCATCTATAATAAACACATTTACAGTCGCATTACTTCTCAGAGGAGGAACACCGGAGTCTGTTGCCCGAACATGGAAACTAAGGGTTTTCTGTTCTTCAAAATTGAAAGACTGTAGGTTATACAACTGGCCTGTCAATGAGTTAACACTAACAGCATTTATGCTTGTTGTTTTGTTATCCAAAATGGAATAAGAAATTTCAGCGTTTTCATTTGAATCTCTGTCAATTGCTGACACCGTGTGAATGAGGGTTCCTAGGGGAGTGTTTTCTTTTACATAGACAGAAATTATTTTTTCGTTAAATTGTGGAGGATTGTCATTCACATCTGAAACGTCAACATAAACTACACTGGTGCTGGAAAGTGGTGGGGTTCCTTCATCTACTGCTACGAGGGTTACATTATACTTGGACATGTTTTCCCTGTCAAGCTGGCCTTCCAAAACAACAGAGTAATAATTATTGTAGGAAGACTCGAGTTTGAAAGGTATATTTCCTAGCAGCTTACAACTCACTTTTCCATTCATTGCACCATCCTTATCCGAAACTGTGACCAGAGCCACAGCAGTGCCAGTTTTTGCATCTTCCCTTAAAGAAGACAGCAATGATGTTATTACTATTTCTGGTGCATTATCATTAACATCTATGACTTCAATTAGTACTTTACAATTAGTTGTCATGGGAGGAGAAGCTTTATCATGGGCCTCCACTCTAAGTTCATAAAAAGCTTTGACCTCAAAATCAATATTTCCTTTAACTTCAATCTCCCCAGAATCAGTACTGATAGAAAACACATCAAGATTTTTTTCCTGACCATGACTACTAAACAGATATGTTATTTCTCCATTTGAACCTTCATCCATGTCGGTAGCATTGAGCTTGATTATCTTAGTCCCGTGCGGTGTGTTCTCTGTCACACGGACTTTATAAAGAGGATTTCTAAACACTGGAGCATTATCGTTTGTATCTAAAATGTTAACTATAATTTGTAATGTCCCAGATCTGGATGTTTTCCCTCCATCAGAAGCAGTCAACATTAGTCGTATTACAGGTTCTTTCTCTCTATCTAAAGCTTTTCGAAGGATTAGCTCTGCAGACATGCCATGTTCACCATCCTGGTTTACTTCTATTGAGAAATGTTCATTAGGACTCACTTTATAGCTTTTAACAGAGAAAGGTCCTACATCTTCATCCACTGCACTGATCAAGGAAAATGTAGCTCCTGGCTGCACTGATTCAGAGATATTCAAAACCTGAGTTTCAACAGGGAACATAGGAGAATTGTCATTCACATCATTAACATTAACTATCACTCGACTCAGACTGAGAGGGTGGTTTACTATCGCCTCAAAATTCAAGGAACAGGATGGAGTAATAGGACATAGCTGCTCGCGGTCAATTCTTTCTGCAACATACAAGACGCCAGATTTCAAATTCACATCAAAATACCTCGTCCTCGTGCCGAATACAAGCTGAAATGCCCGTGATTCCAAATCCTGGACGTTTAAATTCATGTCCTTCACCACATTTCCGACGACAGTTCCGATATTTACTTCCTCTGACATGGTGTAGACAATCTGTCCATCCACTGGAACTGAAACACAAATTACGAGCCAGAGGAAAGTAATATGTGAGAACGTCAAGTTCTTCCTGTCGGCCATCCTTCCGCATGAGATGGCAACGTGATCAAAACAATACAACGGTCATCAGAAGAACATCAAAACTCTGCAGACACAGAATTAAGAATGAGGCTCAAGAAAACACGCCACGAAAAGCATCTGGACTGTGACGCCCGGTTATAGCACGTCACTCAGCAAAATCGTAGGCGGAGTTCAGATGGTATATGGAAATTATTAAAGTTTAGCGGTCTACAGTGACACCATGCGGAGCACGTGCGGTTCTGTGTGGCGAATCCACACAAATTAAACATATACACCATCACAAAAGAAAATAACCAGGTATTGTAAATTAAGATAACACCGAAAGGGCTATACTAGTCAAAAAAAAAAAAACAGTCTGCATAAACTAGACTATACATCAACAAAGGCATATGCCTTTAGAATACAGTAAGTCAGTACAGTAGGAGTTTATGGTTATGTTTGTATATATTTGTGATTAAAACATTCGGACAAACTGTTAAGCATGAGAAAACTTTTTTTGTTGTTAGGCTATATTAAAAATGAAACAATCATTTGAATACATTACCAGATGAAAAAGAAGTAGGCCTACTCTAAAATGTATTAAAAAATGTACTTGAAATTTTTATAGTAGGCCTACAATTGTACTCCTAACATGCTTACTTGAAGTGCGTTAAAAATGTAGTGAACCACATTTTAATATATTTTTTTTAAAGTATACTAGAAGTAGGCTACTTTGGTAATAAATATATGCTTTGTTGCGCTTTTAAGAAATATTCTAAAATACAAGTATACTTTTGTGAAATTTTAGTGCATTTACAGAAAACATACTTATTTTACTCTTAAAATATGTTATGTTTACTTTGTGTAAAAACATAGTAAAATTATTCAGCTTTTAGTGGGTTTAAAGTATGTAATTTATAACCATATGTAGACCTACAATATATTTTAAATATTTAATGAACATATGCTTCAGCCTGCTTTTCAAAACATTTTTAACATTTTAATAGATTTTGAAGTATATGAATTCACTCACACATAAATAGCTTATAGCTATAAAATAAGCATATGTATTCTTACATTGTACCAACTTATAATATAAATATAATTTTGTCAACTATGCCTTAGTAATAAGCATACTTAAAAATGTTGTTCGGTTTTACTTGTTTGTACTCGTAAAAGAATACTAGGCTGTTTAGTAATACAATTCAAATACATTTTAATGTCACTTTTAAATATGCCTACATATCATTACTTGTAATACGCTCATATTTAACTGTATTTTCCACAAGCATTTCAACATCGTTCGAAGTGCATCATAAATCATTTTTCTAAAGATATGCTTAAAATCCCTATTTACTTGATTATGTACCTAAAATTAAAACAAGCTCAACCTACAACATGATGCGCGAAAACAAACCTCATTCGCTCATTGGCCTTTGTGGAAGCTCAGGACTGCGTTCAGCCCCGACAAAACGTTGCGCACCGGTTTGAGCTTGAACTTGCCCCAGGCGTTCTTGCTTAACACGTGTTACAAAACCTGATTGGCTCTCGAGCCTCCTTCGATGGATGTGAATAAAAGTCTAAATTAAAACTGTTAAGTCATATAGAGCGGACATGGAAGAAACCACTCGATTCATATGGATTACTTTTGCATGTTTGAAGTCATGAAACGGGAATAATTTTGGTGACTTTCAGCGGGACATACATCTATCAAATTTCATTAAAATACATCAGTTTTTGTTTCGAAGATGGACAAAAGTCTTAAAGGGTTTGGAACAACATGAAGTTGTGTAATTGATTACAGACTATATATATATATATATATATACATATATTACATTAACATCTTATTTAATTATATTACATCTTTATTTTTCCCAGCTTCTTAAAGCATATGTGTGTGTAGATTTGGAACCTCAGTTCTTTGTCACTCTAGGTAAGTATTTAATTTATGTTACATTCAGTTTGACCAATCAGAGCCAAGCTTTTCAAATCGACTTTGCAGGTAATAGTCCAATCACACGGCTGTATGCTGTTGAGATGGTAACGTTTTCAGCAGAAATCATCCGTGTCGCTTTATTTTATTTTTATGACTAGAAAACCAAGCCAGCTCCTGCCTCCCGTGAACAACTTAATAGGTGCTTAAAAGGTGCGTCTGCTAAGTCAAAGCAGGACAGACGAAGATACTGACCGCAGAAACACTCCTCCTTGGTGGTAAGGTTTTACTAGCCATTTGTTTAACTAACTTTAATATCACTTCTGAGTTTTTCCTTGGTGGATAGTGCTTGGTGTGTATTTGCAAATGTTAGCTAACACATGGACTGTTAACATAACGTGACACTGACACTTACTAGCCAAGTTAGTTATCTAACAACTTTAGGCACCGGATATATGGTTGCTTAAAGTCTAGGTAGTGGCATTTTGTCTGTCATATAACAACTATAAAAACATTGTCCAATGTATTGGCAGAAAGAATAATTTGTCGTTATAGCATGTACACCATTAACATGCTTTTTAAAATTATAATGAAGTTGTGTGTGTTTTTCCCCCCTCAACAATTTGTAATTGTTACAATTGTAATGAAGTAAATGTTAAATATAAATTCATATTTCATTGTGAAATATTAAGTTATAATTTGTTGTTTTTAGATCATCTGCTGATGCATTAGAAGACAAATTGAAATCAGATGAAGAGAGTGGTAAGTGTGTTTATCTCATATCAGTGAATCTCACAGGTTTAATTCTGGCTGACATATTTCCTAATAAAGAGACTATTGAGGCTCTGAGTGTCATGCTAACTTTGGATTCAGCACTTCTGTTGTAGAGATGTTGGGCCTCTTATAACCTTATGTTCAATATAACACAAAGTATTGTATGGTGACGACAGACAAAAGGATAAAACAGACGCTCATGGCAAGCTTGATGAGGATTTAGTCCAAGCTTTGAAAGGTAAATTGAGAACAGTCAAAGGGCCTGTTTACACCAGAGAAAATGCATGAAGTGACCAGGTGTAAACAGGCCTAAATAAATTCTAATGCATATCTATGCAAATTGTAATGCATATGCTATTCAAAAACACCACTCAAAACCACTGATTAATTATTTTTCCTTTCACAGACCCTGTGATGAAGAAATTTTCAAATACCACAGTGTCAGAATTACTACATGCCATCAGATGCAGAAAATCCAACAAGTCATACTCAAAGAAAAGTGACCCTGCACTTGAAGATGAAGATGGTGACATTTCAAATGTTCTGTTTCTTTGTTTGGTTCAGCCATTTGCAGGCTTAACTTTGTAAATAATAATAATAATAATAATAATAAATAAAAAACAAACAATAAAATTATTCACTTCTGCTCTTTATTAGTGTGTGTAATATTCATAGTGTACTTTCCAGAATACAGTTATAACATGAATGTTCTGCAAATTGATTAAAGTAGTTGTGTTATAGCATTTAACTGATCTTTATTTTAATTTAATATAATTTATTATAATTATTTTGGTCAAGAGTTTATATATGCTGCTGTACTTTTTAAATGTACTCAAGGAATTTGTTGTTGTAATGTACACAAGATACACTAAGTACATTAACATTTTCTAGATGTGAAAGTGTGTGCATGTATGTCATGTTCATGTAATGATTTTTGTACTTTTTAATATACCATTTTAGAATGCTGAAAAATACCTTCATAACAAATTAATAGTGTGCTGGTAATGCATTTCTAATGAGCTGAAATGCTATTGAAAATGTAGAAGTACATTAAAGTGAAGCTTAAAATATATTCTAACTGTACTTCAAGAATTATAAAAGTGTATTTTACATAATGTGAAGAAGTACAATTAAATTACTCTAAAGATACTTTAAGTTGTTCCATTTTAACAACTAAATATATTAAAATATATTGCAATTAGCTTAAAGTTCATAAAAAGCAGCACTTACCATACTTAAAGTTGTTCCAAAATAACACATTTATTATGCACTTAGTATAGTATAATAAAAATATAATAAGTGCATCGATATTAGTACAGCTTAAGTGTATTTCTTTTTTTACCTGGGTTTGCCACACATTGAATTAAATAAAATTATAGAAATTCCCCTAATGATTATACAGACTTTAGTGAAAAAGAGCACATGATCAAGCAGAGTCAGATATGTAAGCGGAAAACCAATTTAGTGGAAAATTTTGAAAACACACCAACATGAAGCTAAATGGGGGAAAAAGTCATCTAAAAAAAAGAGTCAATTTAAGCAACTAATCAATTATATGCACATTATATTTTGTATTGATTTGTATAGTGCTTTTGCCTAAAAAATGTTTTTCGTTCATACTTGTTGGTTTGTTTACAACATATATTTTCATTACAAATTATTTTTAATTGTCTTTTAATTTCACTGATCTTTCTTTTTACTCCGATTCATTCCGAATACTTTTCACAATCCTTTACAAAGATGCAATCCTATTTCCAAAAACAAGCCTCTTTTTGACTCCCATGGAACAGTTTAAGACTTGACGAGAGTATAAACGCATCGATATGCTTTCACTTCAGTGAACCTAATAATTTTTTTTTCAGTGTTAAGAAATTATAACATGGGAAATGTAATGCTTGTTTGCCATTACATCAACCCTGAGCTGACATTTTAAATGTAATCCACTGCATTTGATGGCAAATGGGTGGAATTTAACTACAGTGATCACCAAGACTATTAAGTGCAAGTTAGCAACACAGAGTTATCACATTTAAAAGCCAACAGAACAATTATGTAACACTGGAGTAAAGTATAAAACAATCTGTGTGTGTACACATACATTTGAACACGCACCATTGTCTATACAACTGAAAAATATGAGACCGCATAGCCCTGCAGATGTGAAGCTGAAATGCCCCATGTACTAAAATCACACATTTACTTGACACGGTAGTAAAAAGTTACCAAGCTACAAAAAGTTCAGTATGATGATGTTTTCAAACTGTGAAGTTTAGGTTTTATCTTACCTTGGTAGTGCTTGGAAGTGTTTGAGTCCTATTAAAAGTGTCTCCTTCATTAATGCTGATTAGTTCTGCATCTGGCAGTGGAAAGGTCGAAGGAAACACGACTACATCACTCTTTATTGTGTCTGAACTGAAACACACGTCGTACTGTTGTGTGGATTTAGAGAAGGACCAGCTTCCGTCTGGATGTGTGCTGATCACTGGAGCGCTGTACCTGCTGAAACTGCCGTCTGTCCTGTAGCATTTAATGGACTGTTGTCATTCTCATCCAGAATAAACACATTTACAGTCACATTACTTCTCAGAGGAGGAACACCGGAGTCTATTGCCATAACCTGAAATTGAAATCTTTTCATTTCTTCATGATTAAATGATTGCAAACTGAATATTTCTCCACTCAAAGAGTTTATATTTATCAGTGTTGTTATAGGAACACTGGAGCTGGAACTGTCTAACAGTGAATATGAAAGTTCTGCGTTCTCATGAGTGTCTGAATCATCAGCTGACACTCTTGTCACCAGACCTGCAGCTTGACCATTCTCACTTAGAAAAGCGTTAATAACGGGAGCTGGGAAATGTGGAGCATTGTCATTAACATCAGAGATATGTACAGTTATAACAGTGCTGCTGGAAAGAGGCGGAGTTCCTTCATCTGCAGCTGTAATTGTGATGTTATACAGAGAAACACTCTCTCTGTCCAGAGGTCCATTTACAACTAGAGAATAATGATTGTTATATGACGTGTCCAGTTTGAAAGGAAACAAACCTTTCACTGCACAGTGTACAATGCCATTTTTACCTCCATCTTTATCAGACACTGTGACTAAAGCAACTGCAGTTCCTGACTTTGTGTCTTCTTTCACACTTTCTACCAGAGGAGTCACAATAATCTCTGGTGCATTATCATTTTCATCCATAACTTCTATTAAAATTTTACATTGTGTGCTCTTTGGTGGACTGCCTTTATCTCTCGCCTGAACTCGTAATTCAATTGCAGCATTTATATCATGGTCTATTTGACCCTTCACAACAATATCCCCGGTTTCAGGAACCACAGTGAATAGATTTTGCTTTTTTATGTTTCCATGTTCAGCTATGGAGTAAATAATGTCACTGTTGGTGCCCTCATCCAAATCAGTAGCAGTCAAAGAGATGATTTTGGTACCAACAGAAACATTTTCTCTCACCTTGATCTTGTACAAAGGTTTGCTGAAGACAGGCCAGTTGTCATTTATATCCAGTACATTCACTATTACACTTAATGTTCCTGTCTTTGCTGGCTTTCCTCCATCAACAGCTGTCAGTACAAGAGGAATTACTGATTGTTTTTCACGATCTAAAGGTTTTTGGAGCACTAATTCAGCAGACACACTCTGCTCTTCAGTTTGTACGTCAATAGAAAAGTGTTCATTCTTGCTTAGTTTGTAGTCTTTTAGTGTATTAATGCCAATGTCGTTATCTTCAGCTACAGGAATATGAAATCTAGCTCCCGGAACAACATCCTCGGTAATGTTTATCGTTATAACGTTGTCCACAAAATATGGAGCATTATCATTAACATCCAGAACATTAATTTCAATTCTATAAAGGCTATGAGGATTTTGAATAACAGCCTCCAAATTAAGAGCACATTGTTGATGAGCGAAGCATAACTCCTCCCGGTCAATTCTTTCATTCACAAACAACGCTCCCGTTTTCAAATTCACATCAAAATATTTCCTGTTGGATCCAGCCACAAGCTGCAAGATACGAGATTCCAGCTCCTGAACACTGATCTTGAGATCCTTTGCTATATTTCCGACAACAGTTCCCTTATTTACTTCCTCCGAGACCGAATAGATAATCTTGCCGCATGAAGATCGCCATAAACAACAATGCAGAGCTGTTATGACGCACAAATATCTTAAGCTTTCCATAATTGTTTCTTCAAAGCCTCAAAGATTAATCCGTTTATAAAACGCAATTTTTTGTCTCACTGCTGCCAGGACCTTAGCCTCTGAAACCTTTATTATACCTTAACATTTACACATGACTACAGTATATACTGGTTGCTCTTCCGTGGTAAGGAGGAGCCTCATTTTAATAAAAGAAGTGCTTCAAATTCGTGGTCTGCAGCGACATCGCGCGTTTAGACTGCATTATTGTTGGAGATATTTTATTTAAATTGCAATTTTTCACACTATAAATGTATGCTTCAAAAGAATGGAATTGGTCAATTGCAAGGTATAAATCCAATCAAGACACGTTCGTCTGTAAATAACCCCAGCACTAGTTAAAAAGGGAATAAATTCTGATGGTTGTAGGAATCAGATAAGATGAAATGTATTTACATCTAACCAAGATCACCTGAATGTACGGAAAGCAAAGCGAGGACGAAATGTTCATTGTCCATGGTGCTGAAAACTGTTATAGGATAACAACTCCTTAAGACTTCGATATTGTCTTTGTTATTGATAAAGCGCATTTTATTGTATTTTGTCAATCACCTTTTATTTATACTTGCCTTTTTTCTGTCACTGTATAATAGCAACGACGACAAAGGCAATGCAATTCAGTTCAGCGAAATTAATTAAGAGAAGCGACAGTAATAGCTTGACTCAAATCCAACGCAAATGCTGTGATAACTACTAAATAAATAAATAACTCTCCAAAATTTTCGAATTGAATGGGGGTTTTTTTGTTTTTGTTTTTTTACACAACTAGGGTTACAAATTCTTCTTACCTTCTCGGTGGTCGGAAGAGTTTGAGTTTGTGTAAAAGTGTCTTCTCCATTAATGCTGATCAACTCCGCGTCTGCTGAAGGAAACGGCGAGGGGAAAACGACTAAGTCACTCTTTATTGTGTCTGAACTGAAACACACGTCGTACTGTTGTGTGGATTTAGAGAAGGACCAGCTTCCGTCTGGATGTGTGCTGATCACTGGAGCGCTGTACCTGCTGAAACTGCCGTCTGTCCTGTAGCATTTAACTGCTATCAAACCCACGAGACTCAGTAAAAAGATGACTGATACTGAGACAATAGCGATGAGCAGATACAGATTCAGATCTGAAAAACTCTCCTCTTTAACAGGAACTTCTCTGAATGATGTCTTTATGTCATCCAGACTCTCAACAACCACAACATCCATGGACATAGTCGCTGAGAGTGATGGCTCTCCATTATCAGACACTGTGATAAGAAGTGGGTGAGTTTTTAGGTCATTGTCACTCATTCGTCTCTTTGTCTTTATTTCTCCAGTGCTGCTTCCAATGCGGAAGAGATTCGTTCCTTTGGGTTCAGTTAGATGATAAGACAGAAGTGCGTTATATCCAGAGTCAGCATCAACAGCTCTGATCTTGGCTACAAAGTATCCCGCTTCAGCAGAGTAGGGAATGTTCTCACTATTAACTGATCCAGGTTCAGAATAAGACGGTAAAATAATTGGACTGTTGTCATTCTCATCCAGAATAAACACATTTACAGTGGCATTACTGCTAAGAGGAGGAACACCGGAGTCTGTTGCCATAACTTGAAACTGCAGTCTTTTCGTTTCTTCGTGATTGAATGATTGCAAACTGAATATTTCTCCAGTCAAATAGTTTATATTTATTAGTGTTGTTATAGGAACACTGGAGCTGGAACTGTCTAACAGTGAATATGAAAGTTCTGCGTTCTCATCAGTGTCTGAATCATCAGCTGACACTCTTGTCACCAGACCTCCAGGTTGAAAATTTTCACTTACAAAAGCGTTAATAACTGGTGCTGTAAAAAGTGGAGCATTGTCATTAACATCAGAGATATGTACAGTTATAAGAGTGCTGCTGGAAAGAGGCGGAGTTCCTTCATCTGCAGCTGTAATTGTGATGTTATACAGAGAAACACTCTCCCTATCCAGAGGTCTATCTACCACTAGAGAATAATGATTGTTATATGACGTCTCCAGTTTGAAAGGATACGAGCCTTTCAGTGCACAGTGTACAATGCCATTTTTACCTCCATCTTTATCAGACACTGTGACTAAAGCAACAGCAGTTCTTGACTTTGTGTCTTCTTTCACACTTTCCAAAAGTGGAGTCAAAGTTATCTCTGGTGCATTATCATTTTCATCCATAACTTCTATTAGCACTTTACATTGTGTGCTCTTTGGGGAATTGCCTCTGTCTCTTGCACGAACTCGCAATTCAATAGCAGCATTCTCCTCGAAGTCAATATGTCCTTTTACAACAATGTCTCCTGTCTCGGGGATAATGGTAAACAAGTTTTGCTTCTTTCCATGATCCACAAATGAGTACACAATGTCACTGTTTATGCCTTCATCCAAATCAGAAGCAAACACAGATAAAACTTTAGTACCAGCAGAAACATTTTCTTTTAGTTTAACTTTGTAAAGATGTTGACTAAACACTGGGTTATTATCATTAATATCCATTACCTTTATAATAATATTTAACGCTCCCGATTTAGGTGGTTTTCCTCCATCTACACCGGTTAGCACTAACTTAATTGTCGCTTGTTTCTCTCGATCTAAAGCCTTATTCAGCACTAACTCAGCAGACACACTCTGGTCTTCACTCTGTGTCTCTAGACTGAAATGTTCATTCGGACTCAGTTTGTACTCTTTCAGCGAATTATTGCCAACATCAGAGTCCTCGGCCACAGGGAGAGGAAATCTCTCTCCTGGACTTGCATTTTCGGTAATATTCATAGTAAATTCTTTAACAAGAAAATGTGGCGCATTGTCGTTTATATCCAAGATCTTAATCTCCACCCTGTAAAGATGGTGAGGATTTTTAGCGAGGGCCTCTATATTCAAAGAGCATTTCTGATTCGACACGCATAACTCCTCACGGTCAATTCTGTCATTAACAAACAGAACGCCAGTTTTCAGATTTACGTCAAAATACTTCTTATTTGATCCAGTCACAATCTCAAGCATACGAGATTCCAGTTCGTGAACATTTATGTTCAGGTCTTTCGCTATATTCCCAACATCTGTCCCTTTATTTACCTCTTCCGGTACGGAATAGAAGATTTGAGCAGACGCAGAATCCAGCAAAGAAAGGAAAAATATAAATCCACACTCGAAATATCCCATTAAGACCATGATGACCATTCACAAGTGGCTTGGTGGCATAAAAAAAGGTAAACGCGAGAGAATCCAGTATTTTTCTTTTGCATTCAGGAAACACGAGACGAAATAGAAACCATCATGTCTCAACGACAGATACACTGAAGCTTCGGTCTCAGAACCTTGGTATTAGAGTAGGCTAGTCTATAACCCTTTAACTGACGGTCTGCAGTGACACCACGTGCTGAAATTATGCCATAACAGGAGTATTCCATTTCCAATTCCATTCCAAATCCATAGAAACACATGATGCTTTCGGAACGAAATTACACCACTAAATACAAACCAAAATTAACCAAGACTAAAAATAAAAGTATAATAAATCATAATAATCGTACCGTGCCAGAAATGGAGAATTACATGTAAAATACCTCAGAAATGTAAAATTTTCACGCTAGAATACGTATTAATGTTCTACTGTCCATGGTGCTGATCGATGACACAGCGTCACACTATAGTTGAGTCAACCACAAAAAACAAAACATATTTCGAAACTGTCAATTGATTTATGGTCAAATTAGTAGTAATTATGTCAGTCCCGATTATGTAATTACAAATGATCACAATTGCGCAAGTTAACTTTGTTAACAAATAGTTATTGAATTACTTGGTGCACGCATAAACACACACACACACAAACACACACACACACACACACACACACACACACACATATATATATATATATATATAAACATAAAAAAAATATCTGGCAAAATGTCTTACCTCCATATCTTTTGGTAGAGTTTGTGTTAGCGAGAAAGTATCTGCTTCACTTATGCTTATCAACTCGCCATCTACAGCTTGGGCTGGTACAGGAAACACTACTACGTCACTCTTTATTGTGTCTGAACTGAAACACACGTCGTACTGTTGTGTGGATTTAGAGAAGGACCAGCTGCCGTCTGGATGTGTGCTGATCACTGGAGCGCTGTACCTGCTGAAACTGACGTCTGTCCTGTAGCATTTAACTGCTATCAAACCCAAGAGACTCAGTAAAAAGATGACTGAGACAGAATAAGGCGGTAAAATAATTGGACTGTTGTCATTCTCATCCAGAATAAACACATTTACAGTGGCATTACTGCTCAGAGGAGGAATACCAGAGTCTGTTGCCATAACTTGAATCTGAAATCTTTTCGTTTCTTCGTGATTAAATGATTGCAAACTGAATATTTCTCCACTCAAAGAGTTTATATTTATTAGTGTTGTTATATGAACACTGGAGCTGGAACTGTCTAACAGTGAATATGAAAGTTCTGCGTTCTCATGAGTGTCTGAATCATCAGCTGACACTCTTGTCACCAGACCTGCAGCTTGACCATTCTCACTTAGAAAAGCGTTAATAACGGGAGATGGGAAATGTGGAGCATTGTCATTAACATCAGATATATGTACAGTTATAAGAGTGCTGCTGGAAAGAGGCGGAGTTCCTTCATCTGCAGCTGTAATTGTGATGTTATACAGAGAAACACTCTCTCTGTCCAGAGGTCCATTTACAACTAGAGAATAATGATTGTTATATGACGTCTCCAGTTTGAAAGGATACGAGCCTTTCAGAGCACAGTGCACAATGCCATTTTTACCCCCATCTTTATCAGACACTGTGACTAAAGCAACTGCGGTTCCTGACGTTGTGTCTTCTTTCACACTTTCCAGCAGAGGAGTAACATTTATCTCTGGTGCATTATCATTTTCATCCATAACTTCTATTAAAATTTTACATTGTGTGCTCTTTGGTGGACACAGTGTACAATGCCATTTTTACCTCCATCTTTATCAGACACTGTAACTAAAGCAACTGCAGTTCCTGACTTTGTGTCTTCTTTTACACTTTTCAACAGCGGAGTCACAGTTATCTCTGGTGCATTATCATTTTCATCCACAACTTCTATTAAAACTTTGCATTGTGTGCTTCTTGGCGGGCTGCCTTTATCTTTCGATTGAACTCGTAACTCAATCGCTGGATTCTCCTCGTAATCAATATGTCCTTTTACAACAATATCTCCAGTCTCGGGGATAATTTCAAACAGATCTTTCTTTTTTCCATGACCAACAAATGAATACACAATTTCTCGGTTTATGCCCTCATCCAAATCAGTGGCAAAGACAGATAAAACTTTGCTACCAGCAGCAACATTTTCTTTTATTCTGACTTTGTAAAGAAGTTGACTGAACACTGGATTATTGTCATTAACATCCATGACGTTTATAATAACATTTAACGCTCCCGATTTAGGTGGTTTTCCTCCATCTACACCGGTTAGCACTAACTTAATTGTCGCTTGATTTTCTCGATCTAAAGCCTTATTCAGCACTAACTCGGCAGACACACTCTGGTCTTCACTCTGTGTCTCTAGACTGAAATGTTCAGTCGGACTCAGTTTGTACTCTTTCAGCGAATTACTGCCAACATCAGAGTCCTCGGCCACAGGGAGAGGAAATCTCTCTCCAGGGCTTGCGTTTTCAGTAATATTCAAGACAAATACTTTAACAGGAAATTGTGGCGTATTGTCGTTTATATCCAAGATCTTAATCTCCACCCTGTAAAGATGATGAGGATTTTCAGCGAGGGCCTCTATATTCAAAGAGCATTTCTGATTCGACACGCATAACTCCTCACGGTCAATTCTGTCATTAACAAACAGAACGCCAGTTTTCAGATTTACGTCAAAATACTTCTTATTTGATCCAGTCACAATCTCAAGCATACGAGATTCCAGTTCGTGAACATTTATGTTCAGGTCTTTCGCTATATTCCCAACAACTGTCCCTTTATTTACCTCTTCCGGTACGGAATAGACGATTTGAGTAGACGCAGAATCCAGCAAAGAAAGGAAAAATATAAATCCACACTCGAAGTATCCCATAAAGGCCATGATGGTCATTCACAACTGTCTTGGTGGTAGTAAAACAAAAAATATAAGCTCGAGAATCTATATTTCTTCTTTGCATTCAGGAAACACGAAACGAAACACCATCATTACGTCTCAGCAGCAGATACACTCACTAACACCAAGATTCAGAGAGAGAGAGAGGCTGCAGAGAACAAACTATAAACATTTTACTGACGGTCTGCAGTGACACCATGTGCATTACCTATAGTATAACAGGAATTATCTATTTACAAATCCAAAAAAAAAAAGGAATAATATAACAATGACATCAATAGCAGCAATACTCAAATACATTTAACGCTCAAAAACAACTTAAAAATGCGCAGTATAATGTTACATGATAGCAGCATGAATAATCTAATAAGACTGCAAACAATCAAACAGATGTTTGTTACGACAGAATCTACTCTGTAAAATGCAGTGGTCGATTAAACAGGTCATAATAGAAAGTTGTTTTAACAAAACTAATGACCCGGTAAGTGAGATGCACAGTGATATGATGGGGAAAAAAAGGTCAAATCTGTCTATATAATAGAAGAAAACACGACTGGAACACTGTGTTGACGAATCACTGAATGCCAGAATTTATTACTATTATTATTATTATTATTAAGATCTATTTTCGGTTTCGTTGTTGCATATAGTGCCTTTTAATTGCGCTTTGCCTATCTCGTGCGTCTTAAAATCTTAATGTATATCTCCTTGAGACATATTGTTACAAATAAAGGCTCCAAAAGGGGGTTTTCGTAGAGATGCAAAAAAAATAAAAATCTGTTTCCCCAAAGAGCATTTATTTAGTTAACATTTGTCCCTCTCCTTAGTGTGAAAGAACACTTTGTGCAGTGGAAATGTCCCATGGATGTTAAAAGTTTATGAATGTTGAACCTTTTGTTAAAAAAATAAATAAATAGCGTAGGGTCTACTGATTTTCTAATATGTAAAACATAAAGCTCAAATACACCATGATTGTTTTAATGCTTTAAAATATTAAAACATTTTAAAACATCCACCAGGACCAGATTAACCATATACAGTATGCTTCTCAAACGCTATATCACTGACAAATAGAAAACAAAAAATAATAATAATTAATTAATCAAAGCAACTTAAATTAACGTAAATTAAAAAAATAAGTTTAACAACCACGTTGTTAAAACCAAAGCAACTTTTATGACAACCAACCTAAATAATTTAGAAAAGCTGAGAACAATAATTCAGCAGTAAATTAATTATCCAACACTAATTCTAAAAGATCTGCTTACCTTCCCAGTGGTCGGAAGAGTTTGCATGCGCGTAAAAGTGTCTTCTCCATCAATGCTGATCAACTCCGCGTCTGCTGGAGGAAACGGCGAGGGGAAAACGACTACATCACTCTTTATTGTGTCTGAACTGAAACACACGTCGTACTGTTGTGTGGATTTAGAGAAGGACCAGCTTCCGTCTGGATGTGTGCTGATCACTGGAGCGCTGTACCTGCTGAAACTGCCGTCTGTCCTGTAGCATTTAACTGCTATCAAACCCACGAGACTCAGTAAAAAGATGACTGATACTGAGACAAAAACGCCTTAGAAAAAAATCTAATTAATCGTTTTTCAAATGTTAATTTTACAAATCTAGGGTAAACGTAGAAGTGAAATGCACTACAGAAGCAAGTTACAATATCTTACCTTCTCAGTGCTTGGAAGGGTTTGCGTGCGCGTAAAAGTACCTTCTCCATTAATGCTGATCAACTCCGCGTCTGCTGAAGGAAACGGCGAGGGGAAAACGACTAAGTCACTCTTTATTGTGTCTGAACTGAAACACACGTCGTACTGTTGTGTGGATTTAGAGAAGGACCAGCTTCCGTCTGGATGTGTGCTGATCACTGGAGCGCTGTACCTGCTGAAACTGCCGTCTGTCCTGTAGCATTTAACTGCTATCAAACCCACGAGACTCAGTAAAAAGATGACTGATACTGAGACAACGGCGATGAGCAGATACAGATTCAGATCTGGAAAACTCTCCTCTTTAACAGGAACTTCTCTGAATGATGTATTTATGTCATCCAGACTCTCAACAACCACAACATCCATGGACAAAGTCGCTGAGAGTGATGGCTCTCCATTATCAGACACTGTGATAAGAAGTGGGTGAGTTTTTAGGTCATTGTCACTCATTCGTCTCTTTGTCTTTATTTCTCCAGTGCTGCTTCCAATGCGGAAGAGATTTGTTCCTTTGGGTTCAGTTAGATGATAAGACAGAAGTGCGTTATATCCAGAGTCAGCATCAACAGCTCTGATCTTGGCTACAAAGTATCCCGCTTCAGCAGAGTAGGGAATGTTCTCACTATTAACTGATCCAGGTTCAGAATAAGGCGGTAAAATAACCGGACTGTTGTCATTCTCATCCAGAATAAACACATTTACAGTCGCATTACTGCTCAGAGGAGGAACACCGGAGTCTGTTGCCATAACTTGAAACTGAAATCGTCTCGTTTCTTCATGATCAATTGACTGTAAGCTGAATATTTCTCCACTCAAAGAGTTTATATTTATCAGTGTTGTTATATGAACACTGGAGCTGGAACTGTCTAACAGTGAATATGAAAGTTCTGCGTTCTCATCAGTGTCTGAATCATCAGCTGACACTCTTGTCACCAGACCTGCAGCTTGACCATTCTCACTTAGAAAAGCGTTAATAACGGGAGCTGGGAAATGTGGAGCATTGTCATTAACATCAGAGATATGTACAGTTATAAGAGTGCTGCTGGAAAGAGGCGGAGTTCCTTCATCTGCAGCTGTAATTGTGATGTTATACAGAGAAACACTCTCTCTGTCCAGAGGTCCATTTACAACTAGAGAATAATGATTGTTATATGACGTCTCCAGTTTGAAAGGATACGAGCCTTTCAGTGCACAGTGTACAATGCCATTTTTACCTCCATCTTTATCGGACACTGCGACTAAAGCAACTGCAGTTCCTGACTTTGTGTCTTCTTTCACACTTTCTACCAGAGGAGTCACAATAATCTCTGGTGCATTATCATTTTCATCCATAACTTCTATTAAAATTTTACATTGTGTGCTCTTTGGTGGACTGCCTTTATCTCTCGCCTGAACTCGTAATTCAATTGCAGCATTTATATCATGGTCTATTTGACCCTTCACAACAATATCCCCGGTTTCAGGAACCACAGTGAATAGATTTTGCTTTTTTATGTTTCCATGTTCAGCTATGGAGTAAATAATGTCACTGTTGGTGCCCTCATCCAAATCAGTAGCAGTCAAAGAGATGATTTTGGTACCAACAGAAACATTTTCTCTCACCTTGATCTTGTACAAAGGTTTGCTGAAGACAGGCCAGTTGTCATTTATATCCAGTACATTCACTATTACACTTAATGTTCCTGTCTTTGCTGGCTTTCCTCCATCAACAGCTGTCAGTACAAGAGGAATTACTGATTGTTTTTCACGATCTAAAGGTTTTTGGAGCACTAATTCAGCAGACACACTCTGCTCTTCAGTTTGTACGTCAATAGAAAAGTGTTCATTCTTGCTTAGTTTGTAGTCTTTTAGTGTATTAATGCCAATGTCGTTATCTTCAGCTACAGGAATATGAAATCTAGCTCCCGGAACAACATCCTCGGTAATGTTTATCGTTATAACGTTGTCCACAAAATATGGAGCATTATCATTAACATCCAGAACATTAATTTCAATTCTATAAAGGCTATGAGGATTTTGAATAACAGCCTCCAAATTAAGAGCACATTGTTGATGAGCGAAGCATAACTCCTCCCGGTCAATTCTTTCATTCACAAACAACGCTCCCGTTTTCAAATTCACATCAAAATATTTCCTGTTGGATCCAGCCACAAGCTGCAAGATACGAGATTCCAGCTCCTGAACACTGATCTTGAGATCCTTTGCTATATTTCCGACAACAGTTCCCTTATTTACTTCCTCCGAGACCGAATAGATAATCTTGCCGCATGAAGATCGCCATAAACAACAATGCAGAGCTGTTATGACGCACAAATATCTTAAGCTTTCCATAATTGTTTCTTCAAAGCCTCAAAGATTAATCCGTTTATAAAACGCAATTTTTTGTCTCACTGCTGCCAGGACCTTAGCCTCTGAAACCTTTATTATACCTTAACATTTACACATGACTACAGTATATACTGGTTGCTCTTCCGTGGTAAGGAGGAGCCTCATTTTAATAAAAGAAGTGCTTCAAATTCGTGGTCTGCAGCGACATCGCGCGTTTAGACTGCATTATTGTTGGAGATATTTTATTTAAATTGCAATTTTTCACACTATAAATGTATGCTTCAAAAGAATGGAATTGGTCAATTGCAAGGTATAAATCCAATCAAGACACGTTCGTCTGTAAATAACCCCAGCACTAGTTAAAAAGGGAATAAATTCTGATGGTTGTAGGAATCAGATAAGATGAAATGTATTTACATCTAACCAAGATCACCTGAATGTACGGAAAGCAAAGCGAGGACGAAATGTTCATTGTCCATGGTGCTGAAAACTGTTATAGGATAACAACTCCTTAAGACTTCGATATTGTCTTTGTTATTGATAAAGCGCATTTTATTGTATTTTGTCAATCACCTTTTATTTATACTTGCCTTTTTTCTGTCACTGTATAATAGCAACGACGACAAAGGCAATGCAATTCAGTTCAGCGAAATTAATTAAGAGAAGCGACAGTAATAGCTTGACTCAAATCCAACGCAAATGCTGTGATAACTACTAAATAAATAAATAACTCTCCAAAATTTTCGAATTGAATGGGGGTTTTTTTGTTTTTGTTTTTTTACACAACTAGGGTTACAAATTCTTCTTACCTTCTCGGTGGTCGGAAGAGTTTGAGTTTGTGTAAAAGTGTCTTCTCCATTAATGCTGATCAACTCCGCGTCTGCTGAAGGAAACGGCGAGGGGAAAACGACTAAGTCACTCTTTATTGTGTCTGAACTGAAACACACGTCGTACTGTTGTGTGGATTTAGAGAAGGACCAGCTTCCGTCTGGATGTGTGCTGATCACTGGAGCGCTGTACCTGCTGAAACTGCCGTCTGTCCTGTAGCATTTAACTGCTATCAAACCCACGAGACTCAGTAAAAAGATGACTGATACTGAGACAATAGCGATGAGCAGATACAGATTCAGATCTGAAAAACTCTCCTCTTTAACAGGAACTTCTCTGAATGATGTCTTTATGTCATCCAGACTCTCAACAACCACAACATCCATGGACATAGTCGCTGAGAGTGATGGCTCTCCATTATCAGACACTGTGATAAGAAGTGGGTGAGTTTTTAGGTCATTGTCACTCATTCGTCTCTTTGTCTTTATTTCTCCAGTGCTGCTTCCAATGCGGAAGAGATTCGTTCCTTTGGGTTCAGTTAGATGATAAGACAGAAGTGCGTTATATCCAGAGTCAGCATCAACAGCTCTGATCTTGGCTACAAAGTATCCCGCTTCAGCAGAGTAGGGAATGTTCTCACTATTAACTGATCCAGGTTCAGAATAAGGCGGCAAAATAACCGGACTGTTGTCATTCTCATCTATAATAAACACATTTACAGTCGCATTACTTCTCAGAGGAGGAACACCGGAGTCTATTGCCATAACCTGAAATTGAAATCTTTTCATTTCTTCATGATTAAATGATTGCAAACTGAATATTTCTCCAGTCAAATAGTTTATATTTATTAGTGTTGTTATAGGAACACTGGAGCTGGAACTTTCTAACAGTGAATATGAAAGTTCTGCGTTTTCACCAGTGTCTGAATCATCAGCGGACACTTTTGTAACGAGACCTCCAGCTTGACCATTCTCATTTAGAAAAGCGTTAATAACTGGTGCTGGGAAATGTGGAGCATTGTCATTAACATCAGAGATATGTAGAGTTATAACAGTGCTGCTGGAAAGAGACGGAGTTCCTTCATCTGCAGCTGTAATTGTGATGTTATACAGAGAAGCACTCTCTCTGTCCAGAGGTCCATCTACCACTAGAGAATAATGATTGTTATATGAAGTTTCCAGTTTGAAAGGCAACGAGCCGTTCAGAGCACAGTGTACAATGCCATTTTTACCCCCATCTTTATCAAACACTGTTACCAAAGCAACTGCAGTTTCTGAATTTGTGTCTTCTTTCACACTCTCCAGAAGAGAAGTCATAGTTATTTCTGGTGCATTGTCATTTTCATCCACAACTTCTATTAAAATTTTACATTGTGTGCTTTTTGGTGGGCTGCCTTTATCTTTCGCTTGAACTCGTAACTCAATCGCTGGATTTTCCTCGTAATCTATTTGCCCTATTACAACAATATCTCCAGTTTCGGGGATAATGGAAAAAATGTCTTTTCTCTTGCCATGACCAACAAATGAATACAGAATTTCACTGTTTATGCCTTCATCTAAATCAGAGGCAAACACAGATAAAACTTTTGTTCCACCAGCAACATTTTCCTTTAGTTTGACTTTGTAAAGAGGTTGACTAAACACTGGATTATTATCATTATTATCCATTATGGTTATAATAATATTTACCGTCCCCGATTTAGGTTGCTTTCCTCCATCTACTCCAGTGAGAACTAACTTAATTGTTGCTTGTTTCTCTCGATCTAAAGCTTTGTTCAGCACTAACTCAGCAGACACACTCTGGTCTTCACTCTGTGTATCTAGACTGAAATGTTCATTCGGACTCAGTTTGTATTCTTTCAGCGAATTACTGCCAACATCAGAGTCCTCGGCTACAGGGAGAGGAAATCTCTCTCCAGGGCTTGCGTTTTCACTGATATTCACAGTAAATTCTTTAACAGGAAAATGTGGCGCATTGTCGTTTATATCCAAGATCTTAATCTCCACTCTGTAAAGACGATGAGGATTTTTAGCAAGGGCCTCTATATTCAAAGAGCATTTCTGATTCGACAAACATAATTCTTCGCGGTCAATTCTTTCATTAACAAACAGAGCGCCAGTTTTCAGATTTACATCAAAATACTTCTTATTTGATCCAGACACAATCTCAAACATACGAGATTCCAGTTCATGAACATTCAAGTTCAGGTCTCTCGCTATATTCCCAACAACTGTCCCCTTATTTACCTCTTCCGGTACGGAATAGACGATCTGA